ACACACACACACAAACACAAACATCTGTGTTATAAACAGCAGTACATAAAATATCTTTAACACACACACACAGACACTGACTATGGACAGAAATAGGTTGAGAGGTTCAGTTGATGAGCCTCTTGGGACTGTGTGTGTGTGTGTGTGTGTGTGTGTGTGCATTTGTTATTTTAAATGGGATTAATGGCATTAAGTGAATTAGCAGTAATCAGGGTCACGTACACGACATCAAGACTAACAGGTGAACTGATGATCTATTTTCAGAGAACACGCTCTCCTGTATTTTGCTATGACAACACAATAACCTCCCGCTGTGCTCGCAGACTGTATGTGAAGAGCTTGTGCTGATGTGAAAGTCAAACTACGGATAAAATCTGGACAATCGTCTGTGGAGTTCACCCAGAGTTTGTCTCATACTTGTCTCTCTTGTCCCCCGCTGACTCTCGGTCACAGGTAAGAGTCATATGAGAGTAAGAAGGACAAGGACTGAATCTAAACGACGCCCCTTCAGCGCAGATGATTAAGATATGTAACAAAACACCACAGGATCCGAGACGTGTCGTCCGTCACGTTAGCGTAGATCATGTGATTATCCAGCCGAGGCATAAAAGAGCACGGGGCTCTGGAAATGACAAAAATGTGCGGCTGCAGGAAACAAGGTGACGTTTTTCTTCCTGTAAAGAAACGAGAGCAGACGACCACACTCAGAATTCTTTATCTGAAAGAAAATAGAAGGGAATATCTGGGGGGGGGGGGCGTCTTCCTGTCTGCAGGAGGAGGAGGAGGAGGAGGAGGAGGAGGAGGAGCGTCACCAGAGGAAATGCATCTGTGTGGTATCTAACGAAACGTCTCATTTAGTTGCAGCCAAGCAGAACACTGCCGCCTCCTCCTCCTCTTTAGCATTCCTCCTGCTTCTCTTTCTCCTCCCTCGCCATCATCCTCTTCTCCCACTTTCTCACTCCGCCCTTTCCTCCTCCTCTTCCCTCATTCTCTTCCCCCTCATCCTCCTCTTCCTCCTCTTCCTCTCCACTCCTCACATCTTCATTTCTCTTTGTTTTCACCCTTTTCCAACAACTTGTCTGTTTCTGCTCCATCCTCCTTTTACTTGCTTCCTCACTCTCTCGCTCTTTTCTTCTCTTCCTCCTACTTCTTTTTCTCCTGCCTAATCTTCCTCTTTTCTTCACATTCCTTTTATGTCATCATGCTTCTCTCCATCTCTCTACCCCCCCCCCCGATCTATTACACTTAATACCCCAATTAACTGTCTCATCCTCTGTTTTCACTTTCTCCATCCCATTTTCTTTCTCGTCTTCACCTCCCTCTTCTTTCCCTTTGTCTCTCTGGCTTCCTGACTCTTGTCTCTCTGTCTCCTCTTCATCTCCCCTCTGTTTCTCCATCCCTTCCTCCTCTCCCACTTTTTTCTGGGCCGCCCTCCCTCCTTCTTGTTCGTCTCTCTCTCTCCGTCTTTTGTCTCTTTTTCCATCTGTCACTTAGCTCTCGAGCGGAGTTGCTGACGCTGTCTGTCTGCCTGCTATTCTTGCATGACCCCCACATTCTCCCGCCCACTGTTTACTTTACCAGAATCCATCATGCCGCGGTACAGCCCGCCTTGTTCAGGCCTTCTGAATTCATAACCGAACATTTCTATAGTACCTGGGAATGTTTCTTTAGGCTTGAACCTCCGCAGAACTATTTCCAGTTCTGTAAAGAGGCTTTTCAAGAAAGAGAAAGTTCTCTGCAGCAGCGAGTCAGGTGGTTATCTGAGTTTTAACCATTGAAGAGAGGAGGAAATGAAACGTTCTTTCTCTGAGCCTCAAATTTGTCGTTTTTTAATATCTGAAACACATCAGATAGATTTAATTAAGTGTTGCTCCATATGACTCGTACCTCATTTAAATAACTCCACATTGACATACATTTTAATTCCACTTTTGAATTGTTCTTATTTCATATATTTCATATTTAAAGGTGGTGACACCGAGAGGTTTTACAGTCTAATACTTCATGCTGAACTGAACCACCTTCATTCTTCCAGACATTTTTCAGAAAATGTGAATTCACTGATTTGGGGTCAAGGTGAATTCTTTTTTTTTCCCACTGGAGACTGACAGTATGACATTGTTCTCACAGAGCCGTGACTCCGGCTGCTTCAATGACTTTTCCAGTCATGATGGGGATGTCAAGACTGAGGGATTGTTGTCTGAACCTTTGCTCGTCTCTTTGGGAGTCCTCCAAGGTCGTGTGCTAGGCCCGGGGATATTTTCTCCACAGACGTCCAGTAATGTTGCAATCACACCTGAGATTTCCCCTCTTGTCAAATCTAATATTCCTGATGCCGTCTGTGGATTGTTTGAGTACAAGAGACTCACAAAACTTCAAATCATACACGTCGTCATTAAAGCACCGAGGTGGATCAATTTCTGACAGACAGAAAATTTAGTTGATTGACAGAAAAGACTGGAACTACTGACAGCGTTGAAGACTTCTTCAACTATGTCGACTTCTATTTTCTCGTTTTTTTCTAAACCTGCCTGTCTGGAATTAGCTGTTTGTCCTGTGGTGATGCTGCCTGCAGTTATTGAGCTGCAGGAAATAAAGACGTGCTGCACAAAGAACCGTTCACCTGTTTATTCAAAGTTCATTCATATCAAAACTCTGCGCGTGACAAGTGTGAAGCTTATTTAGATCAACGACTCCCGAGAAAAGCAAGACACAGACACACAGAGACGTTACTGTTGTTTCCTACTGTTGCAAGGAAACATTAACTTTACAAAACACCTACAATAGCAGTGGGTGTTCATCAAGTCTTTAAGAAGTGGTGGATTTTCACCTCCACAGAGTGAGAATAATATAATCTCATGCACAACAAGCGCTCTCTTGTTTCGGGGCACAGGAAACCTCTGTCCTCTTTCAGCATTAGTGGGAACTTCGTCTTAATTTATCGCTCTGGCCGACATCCAAACCTGCTGCGCTCCACCTTTTCTTTGCTTCCTTTCTTCTTGTTCAGGAGGATGAATGTCTGCAGTTTAGCTCCAAAGACATTTAATTTTCCTCCACCGCATGTGGAACATATGTGTCAGTGTGCGCACGTGCACGGGTCCGTGCACAAGTTTCCACAGAGACCTGCTGTTATGTTGTTCCAAGTATTTGATAACCTGGTGAGGTATTGTGGTAAGAATAGGTCACCCGCCTCCCATCTCCGTCTCCTCCTCCTCCCCCTCCTGCTCCTCCTCTCTCATTTTCTCCCCCTGTCCAGACCTCACTCCCCCCTCCTCCCCTGCCTCCCTTGTCTTCTCTTTCCCTCATTCTTATCTCCTCTCACCTGTCGTCCTTCCACTCGTCTCTTATTCTGTCTCTAATATCTGCCTTCCTCTCTGGCATCATCTCATCTCCTTGACCTTTTACAACCCTCTATCCCTCCCTCTCTTTCTGTCTCCCTCTCCCTCTCTCTCTCTCTCTCTCTCTCTCCCCCCTCGCTCCATCTCTCCCAGTCTCTGTCTCTCCGTCATCATCATTACAGGGTTGATTACCTGTCATTATGGCTCATTAGGGGTCTATCAGTATGGCGGCGGGCAGGACAAGGAGGGGGGAGGAGGGGTGGGAAAAAGGGGGTGGTGGGAGGGTACCTGTCAACACACACACACACACACACACACACACACACTTATCTTGTGCCACAAACCCCTGAATCTATAACCAGCCGTGTGTGTGTGTGTGTGTGTGTGTGTGTGTGTGTGTGTATTCCTTCCTTGTGTTTTATTTAATCTTTTATTATCAAGAACATCAATTTAAGTTTTACGATTCCTCATAAAATATTTTCTTCCTCTTGTTCCCTCCCATCCCCCCTTCATACTCCTTCTCTTTATCACTTGTCCTTTAATCCATCTTCCTCCTCTTGTTTTAACTTTATCTTTGTTCCCTCTCTTCTTGCACTCTCGACCTTTCCTCGATCTGTTCTTACCTTCTCTCTCTTCCTCCCCTTTGTATCTTTCACCTCCTCAACTTATCCCTCTTCATTCTTTTCTTCCCAGCTCTTTCTTTCTTGTCCGAATGTTCGCCAAAATTAAATATATTCTCTTCTTTTTTCTTCATCTCTTTACTGTCCCTCATCTTCCTCCCTCAACCTCCGACTCTGCTCACTCAACAAGTGATTGTGACTAACTGGAAACTTACTGTCCCTCATCTTCGTCATGTCTCCTCAGGGTTGGGAGGAGAGCTGCGACGCCGCCGTCTCCCACCTCCTGCGGAGCTGCTTGTCGCGGAGCTCCAAGGACCAGGCCACATCTCTGGCCCAGGCAGGAGGCCCCCTGCTGAGCCTGCCGCGAGACACCGCTCGCCTCAAGAAGCACATCACGCTGCTGTGCGATCGCATCGGCAAGGGAGGCCGTCTCACCCTGGCCTCTGAGGCCAACGCTCCAGTCCCCGCCCAGGTCCAGAATCTGGCTGCTCCTGGTGAGTCGAGGGACGGGAGGGAGGGGAGGGATGGGAGGGAGAGAGGGAGAATTAATAGCTTATGTTATGTGTTTATACAGTTTGTCCTTGACACAGAATCATGACTGAAAAAATGTATCAAAGCAAATTCTAAGTGACGCACGATTTTACAATCCTGTCTTTATCCACTGATGAGGCAACTTAATTTGTGCAGCACGTTTCAACAGAAGGGAATTCAACACGCAGTATCAATGACGTCATCAAATTAACATGAGACAACACGAAAAAGAGCATTCAGAATAAATTAAGAGTTGAGCAGCAGAGTCTTCTGTTCGAGCGCTCCAGAGGAAACACAACGTCTGTGTCGTCAGTAGCTGTCAAATCAAAGAAAGTGCAGTGAAAATAATACGATTTTAATGATATTGTCAGTTTTCATTTGGAGCTGGATTAAATAATAAATAAATGTTTTCTGGTGTCAAGTAAAAAGTCAAATACAGAAACAGAAAACAAATAAGATTTGAAATCTTACAGAAGTGCTTCATTAAAAAAAATAAAGAAAAGGAAATAAAGAAAATGAAAGAATAAAATAATTAGAATTACACAAGATTAAAAAAAAAATGGAGTTAGATGAGTCAGTTGTGTTTTATAAAAAGCCACGCCTGGGTATTTATGAGTGTGTGTGTGCGCGTTGATGGACAGCCTCATATAAGCCAGTCCCCTGATGAAGATTTTAGGCCTCGTCAGGAGAAAACATGACGACTATTCATCCAACCAACACACACACGCCTTTAAATGCATCCCTACACACACCCACAGACACGCACAGATGAAAAGAGAAATACAGGTACATAGTTATGATACACAGACTGTGTACAGTGCGTCAACGTCGGATACATTGTGCAGACACACTCATAAAAACACACACACACACACTTTGGCACACAGAGGGTCGACACTCATAAAATCATACGTACACACACACACACACACACACACCGTACGGATCATTTAGTCTTGGCTGAAGTTTATAGAGGTGCTTCTGACAAGATCATCAATTACAGTTTCTCTCCTCTTTTTCTTCCCTCCCTCTTCATTTCATTTATTCCTCCTTCCCTCGTTTTACCTCTGAGTTTCCTACATAAAACTAAAAGGTAAAATAAATTCTTTTTTATTGTGCAAACAGAATCTCTCTTGTTTTGCACAGTTGTGATTCAGTGTTTGTTTCACGTTCTGTTCACTGGGCTGCGTTACGACGCTGTTTCATAACGGAGACTGTAAAAACCGTGGCACTCAAACGAGGACATATGGTCAATAAGAAGGAAATAACACAGATGGACGTAATGCAGTATCATTAATACAAATGATTCTAGCTGGAATATTCTCAAATATGTAAGTACCTTCCTAGACAAACATGTTCTCAAGGAAAGTGAAAGTACTACATTAACTTGAGTTAAAATAAGGAACTACTTGTAAATAAAGTACTTGCTGAGTGGAGCCTGTTTCCTTATGCAACAGTCGACTTCATCATACAGCCCAGTTCTCTGATTGGATCAATAAACACTATTGAAAGGTCTTGGAGTAGAAAGTACAGATATTTGTAATATTTGTAGTAAAACGGAAAAGTACCCCAAAATTCTTGTTTCAGAAATCTCTTTCTGTCTCACATGTTTGGAGACGACTGTTCATCTTATCAGCTTCACACTTGTCATGTGTGACGTTCATGTCCACACGAAGGGGAAGACGGAAAAAAAAGATGATTCTCCAGTTCGGGGGGTTCTGCACATTGAACTTTGGACAAACAGATAGATGAACAGCTGTGTGTGTGTGTGTGTGTGTGTGTGTGTGTGTGTGTGTGTGTAGGAAGAAAAGTCTATAAAACTTTAAAAGCTTGTTTAAAAGTCATTATCTTGATTACAGCGGTCGAGGAATTACTCATGTTGTGGGGATCTGTTTAATAAAGTCCTTATGGAAACAAAAATCAAATATCCAATCAAGGAAATCATCACATTTGAGGGTGAAGACATGATTCTGTGTGTGTGTGTGTGTGTGTGTGTGTGTGTGTGTGTGTGTGTGTGTGTGTGTGTGTGTGAGAGGGAGAGTGTGTTTGTGTTTATGTTTCCTTGTCATGTGGTCTCCCCTCTCTCCTTTAGTCTGCTGCCAAAATTCACACACACACACACACACACACGCACCACAAACACATTGCGCGTCAGTAAACAGTCGTTTGTTAGCTGTCTCAGATGTTGCTTTTTCACCCGCTCGTAAACATACACATTTGTTTACGTTTCCAACAACACCGGCGGCAACCGTTTCCTTCCAAGACCACAGAAGCATGCACGTGCACGTATACACACACACACACACTGTGATACCACACAACAAGCCCCACTTCATTGCTACAGAGTGTGTGTGTGTGTGTGTGTGTGTGTGTGTGTGTTTATGTTTGAAATAAAATAAAAACCCTGACAACACACACCCACCTCTAAACACCCTGTGAACCACATTATCGCTCAGACTGTTAAATTCTCACCTTTTCTCTGAAAGCATGAGAAAATCACACGTCTGTATTTATCTCGTTGTCCACAAACAGAAGAAGAAGAAGAAGTTAACAGAGCATGCGAAGTGCAAAATACGTTAGTTGCTGTTTTTTTTTTTACTGAGATAAATTGAGAGGTTTTCCTGCACGTTGAGCTCAAAGATTGTCTCTTTATAAATAGAACTAATATTCTCAGTGTCAACTTGTGTAACTGTTACCGTCAGCGTGAGACCTAATTTAATTCAGGTGACGTGGACAGTTTCTCTCCTCATCACACGACCTTCAGTTTCACCCCGATGACATCATTCAGACCAACTGGCCTCAACAGCTGCAATCTGTACACACACACACACACACACACACACACACACACACACACACCTGGTGAAATCAGTGGTGTTTATCACAGGGTTCATTATTCAGCGTGCTGTCAGCGCAGCTTTGAAGTGAACTCAGTCACGGAGGTGTGTACGCTGATGTCTCCTCCCACTCACACACTGTATATACACACTTTATATCCCAACGTGACTTATGTTTCTGCAGTGAGAGACGCTTCTTGGCAGCACCGAGTCCTCTCTGTCTCAGCTGTTGTTTTTTTTATTCTTCCTGCAGTAAATCTCGTGTAATAGTGTTTTTGGTTTTTGGCTTTAATCAGTTTCTCTAAAGAAAAAAAAACTTTCTCCGGGGTTTTATAGACAGAGCAAGAAGAGGAGAACTGCTGATGTAGAGACTCTGGGCCTCAGCCTACAGAAGAGACAGCAGCATTCACATGTGCACTCGTATTGTGGTAGATTGCTGCATGTTGTATACAAGTCCATTGATTTGATCAACAACCAGCAGGAAGCACTTCAGTGTAACACCACCTGTTATCTGCATCTCTGAATTCAGGACTACAAATCTCTGAACTCCTGAAGTTCATCATTTTACTCTTTGCCGTTGTGTGGTGTGTGTACTTTCCGACACATGTGCAGGAAACGCAGCGAGCGGGGTTTTAATTGTGCTAATTTGCTATCATCACATGCGCTCGCTCAAACACGCACAGGCAACGTTTGTCACGGTTACACACTTTTCCGAAGCCTTTGTAGAATCTGATGTGAACGTCTAAGATGAGAATTCAAACCTGTTCTTCCTTTGCTCGATTCCAGTTCTGGGTCCGGAGCCTGCAGAACAGAAAGACACATAGGAATACATGTTGTGTATTTGGTGGTGCACGTAATGATGTGTTCTCTTCTAATGAAGTCAGACACATTTACTTTAGTTTAATTGACAGGAGGCGGACACAAAATATGTGTGTGTGTGTGCGCGTGTGTGTGCGTGTGTGTGTGTGGCATTTATTTTCACAGTGTTCCACTGGTAGCTGTGGTTTGGGGCCTACATCTATTTTAGACTTAAAGAGAGGGGAGAAGATGGGCTGCATTTGTGTGCATATATATATATATATATGTGTGTGTGTGTGTGTGTGTGTGTGTGTGTGTGTGTGTGCATGTGTGTGTGTAAGTTCAGAGGACACGGAGCAGAGGAAAATACATGCAGTATGTGTAAGTGTAGGTCAAGTCTGGTGTGTAATGCTGAGCAGCTGTCTTTGTTCTGTCTCTGTGGTGTTTGCAAATTGAAGAGTTCTCCTCCAGGACGCTATAAATACACCAGCAGACGTCTATTTTTGAAAGAATCGATCATTACCTGAAGCTCATCGCTCAGTAAATCTGAAATGTTCCAAGTTTGTTGTTTGTCAGCGCTGGTGTGAAACTAAAAACTTACAAAACTAAAAGACATTTTACACGAGGAGTCGTTGTCGGACGCTTTTTTGAAAAGTCAGAAATCTCTTTTGAGGACAGTGAACATATACACGAGTGAGAATGAGAAAGTGATTTTGTCGTAGTGAGTGTGTCTCAGGTTCAGACAGAAGAGATCAGGTGTCTCACACACACACACAGTTAATAAAGGATTCACACATCCTGCCGTTTGATGTGTGTCTGCATGTCAGTGTGTGCAGACCTGTGGATGTAACGTGTGTGCGCGCGCGCGTACAAAGATGCCACAGCCAAACTGTGCAACCGCAGCTGCACAGTGTCACCCCCATCTTCAGACCGCAGCCCAGAATAAAGCAGGAATGCGGTGGTGTCTCCACACTGCGCAGACCAAGACAGAGCTGTCTATTGGAAGCAGCTTCACCCTTCAACCGAGCTGTCCAGAACCGTTCCAAAAGTGGCCCCAAGCTGTCACACACCAGCCCAGACGCTCCCACACTGTCCCACACTGTCCCATAATGTCCCAAACTGTCACAAAATGGCTCGAGCTTTCTTCACACTGTCCTCAAATTGTCGTGGACCGGCCCAAACCATCCCCATCTATATACAAACAGACCCACAAATGTCCCAGATTTCTTAGACCGTCCCCGGCCGTATCTAAACTCCTTCAGAATTGCACCGTGCTGTCCAAACAGCCTTTAAAGTGGCACAAACTTTCCTTTACTACATTAAAAATG